TCGGATTATGGATTGAAAAAATTAAAAATTCCCATATTAAAACTATATTTTTATTCAAATTATCTGTTAAAATCATATCAATATTAATAAAGTGTTTTAATATATTAATGTTTATTAATAGTTTTTACTTTTAATAACTATGAATAGGTTTGTGATGCAAATTTGCGTATCACTAATGTGTATGTTGATTTCCCTGGTAGTGTCCACGACCAATTTATTTTTGGAACAAGTGCAGTCAAAACAGAAATGGATAGGTTACATGCAAATAATATTAGTCAATTTTACCTTCTCGGAGATTCAGGATACTCGCTTCAACCATATATGTTAATGCCCGTATTAAATGCTCCTGAAAATACAACCGAGTATCGTTACACTCATAACCACTGTTTTGTTCGCAATACAATTGAAACTAACCTAACCTATGTATAACCTCCCCCAGTGTATTTAATTAATTAATTATATGTATAATTTTTATTCAAACTTACCTCTAATTTTATAAATAGATATTTAAACACTATGTGTTCAAATTCTGTATAGTAATAAATAAAATATATTTTAAAAATAATTACATTATTAATCGTTATAGAATAGACAACAATAAAAATAAAGTATTTGGTTGATAACAAAAGAAGTGATATTAAATAAAATAGTAGGTAAGTACCTACCTATTAAATAGTTCAATACTTTACTAAAAACAATTAAAACTTACTATTTCTTTACTTTAGAAAAAAAGTATTTAAAAAGTAGTTCATGTTATAAAACTTATTTGAATAACTAGTTTCAAGGCTGTCTATAACTATAAATCAGTCAAACATTTATATTATTAGTTGACAATGAATTGCCACAAAAAAAAAAAAAAAAATACATTTACATTTACTATAAATCTATAAAGCAATAAAAATATATATTATAATTTAGTAAAGAATCACCAGCAAAAACGCATATTATATTGTAGGGTTAAAAAGCAGATAAAATTTATATTATTAAGTATAGCAATAAATCTTAATATTATATAGAAATTAAAAATATTAAAGATTTATAACAAGCTTAAGTAAATAAAAAACAATTAACCAATAACCAAAAATAAATAAAAATAATAATCATTAAGTTTTTTAATATTATTTATTAGCATGCAAATTAGAAGGCAGTCCACATAAGGAATTTAATGCTTGTGCTACATTTTCCAAGTTATTATTCATATTATTAATAGCATTCACAATCGAGCCCATTCGTTCAGTATTTTCTCTAATAGCATCAGTCATATTCTTAAAAAAAATTAAATTACAATATCATTCAAAAGCATGCAGTTTTATATAAACAAATTAAACACAAGTGATAAGTGCCGACAACTTATTAAAATCACCATTACGCTCAACTATKAATATTGAGACAGAAAACTTGAGCTTATAATAAATTATAATATTCTACCATTATACGATTGGGATCCTAGGGATACAGTTTACCATTGAACGTCTATAAAAAAACATTGAGTCCTTAAAAGAAGAAAAGGAAAGGAATTAAATTATTTTGGTGGAGTTTTCTTTGAAGCATCTGGTAAAGACAAAATTATTGATAGTGGCGAAGACACTGAAGATAAAAAAAAAAAATTTATCTGTTATTATTATTAATAAATTGTAATAAATAAAGTAATGTATAAAGTCTTTACATGTGTTGTAATTTGTCGATGTATAATTGGGTAAATAGTGGGTGTAAAGCGAATTTAGCGAGTGACAAATTTATTTTATCTGCACGTACGAAAATATTAAAATGTTGGGCAGTTCTACAATTTTCTTAGCGCAAGCTCTACTGTGTAGTAAAACCACACCGATGGGCAAAATCCTTCCACCTTGAGTTACTCTTATTTGGGACATAGAATATACTTACCTTTAATGATTCATTGGTTTCATCAACTAAATTCTTATATATACGAGTATCAAATCTAAGAAAATACACTTTTAGGTACTTTGTCTGATGTACGATTTAACTTTTGCTTCTCTGTACCTAAGTATTTTTTCTTGACTTACTTGCTCAAGGCTTTCTTTTAAAAGACTGCAATTATCAATTTCATTTATACCTCAATTAATTCCTATAGATAAAAATATAACAATGATAGATATTTTTAAATGAAACACAAAAATATTGGACATAAAATTAAATAGGTATAGCTAGCTGATACTTCTAAATCCTCCAACCCTTTTGTGGCATTAAGCAACATTTCCCCATCAACAAAAGCAGTCTATAGACAAAATAATGAATATTTAAATTTTAAAATTAGTTGTGATGAAGGTAACATTTTAATAAATTAGCATCTAATACATATAATTATAAATTTACTTCATCAAATCCAATCTCTCCTGTACCAATTCCCTCAGATGTTTCAGTATCAATAATCGAGAGAATGAGTCTTTGGCGGTCATTTGGTTCAGGAGGTAAATTACTGCTGGAATTACCAGTATCTGAGTAACAATATCTCCTTATATTTGTTATACTAATTTCTAGGTACAATTAGGACACTAGATTACAATAGATAGGTAACCGATGATTATTACCTATGTTAGTTATTGACTTATGTTTTCATAGAATACAGCAGAATCAAACTTATTAGAGCAGCATAATTCAGAGTATGATATTACTGACACAAACACTGAAGATGATGATTTTGAGGATTATCTTAGAACTTGTGCTACAAATTCTTCTCAAAACAGTCAAAACTCAATATCTACAATAAATTCTTCTCAAGGATCTAATTCGACTAATTCATTATTAAATTCTAAACTAGATGTCTTTGRAAATATAAACTGACTGTCTTATAAAGAAGATATTGTTAACTTTTGGTCGGAAAATAAAAATGAAATGCCTGAACTATATCAATTAGCACAAATTCTTATGGCGGTACCGGCTGTACTCGGGTACCTACTACATTTCACACTCATTATTTATTTCTTATTAGTTATTTGTCATAATACTCATAATGTCTGCATACTACTATTTTGCTTTTGCTTTTATGTTAGTTAGTATAATCAACTAAAAATATATTTCAATATCTTTGTTTAGGACAGCGTGGAGCGTAGTTTTTCCTGATTAAAATTTATATTGTCTGATTTGAGAAATGCTATTGGTCATGATATTTTGGAAAATATTTCAATCATTAGAGGAAATGCTAATACAAACTAGCCAATAATTTATTATGTTGATTTATTTGAAATTTAAATTTAAAATCAAGGCAATAAATTCTTTAGTTTTTGGTTAAGAAGACCATTATTATTATTTTGTTAAAGTCATTTAACATTTCTTTATTCTTGATATGATTATCAAAACAGTATTATTAAACTATTAATAGTAAACATATTACTGTTATCGTCAATTTTTTTTATACCTGGTTCGTCAATTCCAGGTAAGCTAAGCTTAAACTGAAAGTGTAACTAATATAAAGTATGTGCAGTACTGCAAAAATATATTGGTCAGAACTCCAATTATTTATATTATCTAATCTAGCATCTACCATTATTGTGTAAATTAACTAATAATTAGTTATTTAAATGTATAATTATAATATGTAATAATATTTTCTGTTTTGCAAAACGAAAAATTAACGTTGCAATTCACTGCTTAATGTTCACGAATAACCTATTTAATCGCTTAAAATATAAAATATAATAAAATATCGTATAGAAAATAATTTAAAAGTCATTCGTTAACATATTATTAGACAAAATTAGTAGATTTACTAAAATTTTCATTCACATTAAAATTTTTTTTGTCATGGTTTGTTCTACAGTTTTGTAAAGTAAATATTATATTCGATTTCTGTTATATGAGTATTAATTTCTTGTTGAAAAATGATTTTTTTGTTTTAAATTGATAGGTAAGACTGTTAACTGCTTATAGCCAATTATTCAATAAATGCTATCTAACCAGTAGATACGGTTAGGATTTAAGCTTAAATTCTCCTGCCATTATTGAAGCAAAATCTTCGCACGACTCTGCTTAAATTGTAATGTTTGTAAATTATATTTTATAAATATAGGTATAACCCCCACGAGCCACAACTACATTTATATAATTTCAACTGTGATATATATATATATATATATATATATATATATATTAACTTTAGAAAACCTTGCCTGTATAATGTATATAATTGCTTATATATATTTATTATATATGTTAGATGTATCTGTATGTATCAAGAAACATTATGACGTAATGCTTATAGTTTATAGTTATTATAGACCTTTATGCTTAAAACGTATACTATTTTGCTCTAAACATTCTGATATATTTGTTTAACTGTATTAAACTAACTAAGCTTATAAACTTTGAGTAGGTATATGAAAAAAAAACTGGACCGACCTCGTGCCCAATCTTAAATCATTTTTATACATCATTTATCTGAATGATTAGCAGCTGTTGTAACTAAAATATATTATTCACATCACACTGCAGCTGAACAACTTGCCCGTTTTGTGCGATTGATGACAATTATTCTTGTATACTTCACCGTCGTCGTCACATAAGTCGACCCACGAAAGCATGAACACACGGCGAATGTTTTCCTCAGCCGTATAGCAAGCAGCTTGTGGTGGTGGTCATACGGAATTATTATTGGCGACGCGCGCGCGCGCGCGTGTGTGTGTGTGTATGTATGTATGTAAGTACAAAATATACTATTTAAATACACACACACATATACATACGATGGCTTGCACGCGTAATAGTACATAATACACGCCTACAGTTTACATGTACATAATATTATGTGTGTGTGTGTGTGTGTGTGATTTATAATTCTTATATATAGACAAATATACACACATATAATGTGCCCCGAGCAGGTAGCTAGCGGAGATGGTGGCTGTGGACAATCATTCGTCTTATGAGAACCGCCGATAGTGAACGTTTGTTTTTTTTTTTTTGGATTTCCGATAAAGGATTATCATAATAATAATTTTATATTCAAACACTTATTATACGCGTGTAGTATATATTGTATATATATATTTATACGTGTGTTTTTATATACATGCATAAGAGTATTTAGGTATGTACATAAATAATATCATTGTATAAACGTATATTTTATATTCTTATATGTATAGTGTATACATCGTATTATATATTGTACATTCACATGCGAGTGCGAGTGTGTTCGTTTATCACACCGAACACAACGGGGGTCGTTGTATACATTATTATATTAAACTTAAAAATCATTCAGATAAGGTCGAGACGAAAGAAAGACAAAAAAAAAATTCCACTGCCATTTTGAAACGCCCGATGACCGAGTACTATGACAGATTGTTTCGGACTATGCCGGTTATTCGAACGGGAACACTCGAGCGGCAAGATGGGTAATGATCTGTCTAAACCGAATGAGAATTACATAGTGGTACCAACCGGTGACAACAGTAAGTGATCTCAAAAAATTCATGTTTTTTATTTTATTAACCATTCAAAACATTTTTATAATGCTTTTATTTTATTTTGTGCAACTACAACCTCAACGAAAATATTGTTTGTTACGCACACACGCCACACGGGCAGCCGCGACTATTGATTAATTATTTAGATCAACATAATGTTGTGTACATAATATTATTATATTTTGTAATAAACGATACAACATAATATATACCTAAGCTTAAATGCATAATATTAAACATAAGAATTAATTTGAAAAAAAAAATCGTTAGCTTTATTTAACTTTTATAAAACCGTAGTCGTATACCTRCTTAATTACTTGCATATTTTAACTCTAAAAATTCAATTAACAACAAATTAAGATTTTATCTTTATTTTTTTATATTTTATTAATTTGTAAATAAATATTCAAATCAGTACCTACTATAAACGCAAATTAAATTATAGCGATATTGACAAATATTTTTACCGACATGAAAATGATGTATATTATGTTACGGTAAAAGTACGATTTCTAGTTAAACCTAGGATTTTCCGAGAAATTCTATGTTTCACCGAATACTGTTGGTAAATGTTCAAAATTCAGAAATCTTAGGAAAAATAATCAGTGTAAGATAAAGTCAGAAATATTTTATCAATAATTATTATTATTGAAGTATATTAGGTACTACCTTCATTAATGACTAATATATTAAATACATACATTGATATTATTGCTATATATGATTATTATTTATTACATATTACAACTTCATCACATTGATACCTTTTTGGCTAGTTTATTGATTGTACGATATTAAAATCGAAATTAAAATTCCCAAAGTCAATACTTAATAATAATAAATTATGATAACTATGTTATGTAACTTATTGATAACTATGATTAAAGTCAATCGCAATAGTATTCCGAATTTCCGAAATTTACCAACCGTATTCGGCGAAACAGAAATTTCCGGAAAATCTTAGGGTTAACTAGTACCTAATCGTACTTTTACCGTATCATATTAAGCATTATTTTCATGTTGGTAAAAATATTCGTACTTTTACCATAACACACCCACACACACACACACACACACACACACACACACACACACACACATATATATATAAAAATATAGTAAATATGTTTGAGTACGTAATTATTTTTCACTGAAGTTCAACCTCTTTTATAGAATTTCATTTTAATTAATAGTTTTGGATTTTGAACCAATAGGTTTTAATACATTAATTTAATGATCAAACCTAGTTAGATTAAATGCTAGGTGTACTAAGACTAAGGTACAGTAATCATAAATTTTATAATAATGATTATTTTACTGTTTTATTTATTATAACATTACAACAATTGTGGTAGATTTTCCTTGAAAAACCATATAATAAATAATATTGAATTTTATATATTTTTTTTTTTAGTTTCTTTTATTAAAATAATGTTTGTTAATATTTTATTATGGTATGTTTTTCATGTTTTATTTAAAAAAAAAAAATGTATGGTAATTATTATTGTAATACTTACCTTATTTAATTTAATTGGATAAGTAGAAATAACCAAAAAACGAAAAATTAGAATAATATTATCCATGTGCTGGTTTTATCAGATAAGTATTTTTCTAAAATGAAACTACTATATTTACTATATTTACTATATTTTAATATTATTTTCAATTGTATACATGATGAGAATATGAGATAAATCATTTTTCGTTAAAAAGACCAATATCGAAATAATACACGATTTACGAGCATCACTGGGTCATCGTGGGATGAAAATAACCGGTTTCGTTTTAAAAACTGCATAAGTTGTCATCGCCGAAGGAGTATCTTGTCAACCTTGTATCACTATTAGAATTTCTATTACTTGTTTGGATGAAACAATTCATAAAAAACTTCTCTTTACAAATAACAACATGTCTATGTTTTGTAACTGTAATTGTTTTGAAAATGTTTTCCACGACAATTATTATTGTATTAATATAATTAACGGATAATGTAATTTATTTGATTTTTATTAATTTTTAAATTATTCTGATATTTATTTTACTCTAACAAAAATCATTATAACGTTGATTATTATTATTTATTATAATTCAAGTTAAATTAAGTTTTATTTTTTTTAACAACAATATATTTACAATCTGTATAAATTTGATGCAATAAATAAATTTTATAACATTATTTACAAGGCATGTGGGCGTGATAGAAGGGGGCAGATCCAGTGACACTACTTCAATAATAAATTTTGATCTTATTAATAAGTTTTTTTATGCTGATTATAAAAGTAAATCACGTGACCAGTTACGTTTAAGGCGGTGAGGAGGATTGTTGGGAATGGTGGCAGAGGAAAGATTAGAAATGAGAGAGTTAGTGTGATGTGCGCGTGGAAATTCGAATAATTTATACGGGCGAGAGTAGGAGCAAATTTTTAGGTCATTATGTAAGTAAAGATTACCAACATACACGGAGCTTTGGTTATTAACTTAAGATTAATTGATTGAAACGCTTGGAATATATTGACGTTGGATTTTTTGGCTGAGTCTCAAAGTTGGATACCATAAGTCATAGCCGGGCGAATAATTTGTTTGTAGATTAGCAATTTATTAGAGAGTAAGATGTTGGAACTGAGAAGAGGTCTAAGTTTATGTAATTTGATATTTAAGGATTTAATTTTAATTTTTATGTGTCGCCCAGGTTAGCCTTTTATCGAGATGAACACCTAAATATTTGACCGAGTTTACCTTAGGAATTATTTTTTCGTTAAGGAATACAGGAGGGCTGTCGTTAGGGCGAAAAGTAAAGGTGATATTGTGTGATTTATTATCGTTAATCTTAATTCTTCATAATTTTAACCAGTGTTGCAATTTTAGTAAGTGATTTAGTTAAATTAAGTTATACAACCTTAACTCGTCTAATACGACTAAACATATTCAGCACGAATGACTTATTATATTTCCTTTTCAAATGCTTTTTTTCTAGATATTTTATTTACTTAATTTTTAATCAACCTATATTAATCAATATTTTTATTTTTGATATTTATATTTTATATTTTTATGCAAATATTCCTCTAAGTAAAATAATAAAAAATGGTTCTTCTATTTAAAACTACATCTATTATTATTTGATTTCAATGTACATAAATTTATAATATTACTTATTATTTATTAATAACTTAAAAAATTAAAACAAAATATT